CCCGGGCGGGCCCCGCAGGGCCTCGGGCGGGCCGGGTTGTGTGCCGGACCCCCCCGCCAGAGCTGGCCTGCTGCGGGGCGAGCTGGACAGATTCGGGGGCGTCTCTGTGCGCCTGGCGCGGCTGGACCGCGTGGACACGGCCACCTTCCAGAGGGCCCTGCAGGGCAAGTGTGCCTGGCCGAGGGCTTCCGGCCCCTGGGCGTCTAACGAAGTAACCCCGCGCTCTGCGCCGGCCGAGCCCCGAGCCCGGAGGAGGGGCGAGGGCGCGTGGCCGCCCCTCTCGCACCCCGCAGCTTGCGCGCTCCGCTGGGACATCTCTGAGGCAGTTGGGAGGGATGGGGACGATCCCACATCCTGGGATCGGCAGCCCTCGTGTCTGGCCCACTTTCTAGTGTGTGACCTTCACCTTGGGCCAGTTCTGTAAAGCACCGTTCCCTGTTGCGTGGAAGCGGATGACAGGAGTGCACGGGACGGCCCAGGGATACGTTGGATAATGCTTAGCATGTGACGTGCTTAGCATGGTTAACGCTCAGACGTATCAGTGTCATTTCACTGTTATCTACTGTCATTTACGGAGCCATGGTTGTGCCGGGCACTTTGCCCAGATGAAAATTCCTCACTCTCTAATACGGGTGGTGGGCAATGAGTGGACCGGGGTGGGTCCCAGAGGTCAGATCTGTGCACAAATCGGTCAGGGGCTGTCGCGTCGAGAACTGGAGTGTGCTTGTCCTTACGGAGCAGCAGGTGGTGGGTGGCTTCAGTGTTTAGTAAGAAAACTCCGCTCTTTGAACCTTGAGTCCAAAGATAAGGAACACTTCATATTGAGGCCTTGATTTGGTGGAACAGCCTGTTTTTCAAACTGCCTGCGAGAGTCCTCATGGAACTGAAGGCCTAGCATGGAAATCCAGCCAGGGAAAGGTCTTGTGACACTAACTGGGAACTTCACAACGTCTCTGTCCTATTGTGCAGTATGGCAAGTGAGCAGATATGTGACTATAATCGAGTTATTTCATTCTTTAATCATCCTCATTCCCAAACTACTGACCTCCACCTCATTTTCTCTCCTTGTGAGTAATTGCTGACTCCAGCAATATCCCCCGTAGGAGAGTCAAATCAGTGTTCATCCCCTCATAGGTATACATATGAGAGGTTAGATACAGGTATTTATTGCACACACTTGTCACTTGTTAGTGACCAAACAGATGACCGAAGCCTAGGTGATGCCAGTCAGCAAGGCAAACCAGAAGGGGACTGTGTGTGGAGTCACACATCCAGGTTTCAAGTTCCAGCTACTGCCTCAAGCTTCACCAGACATTAGGCAAATCACAGAAAATATCTGCCTTTTAGGTTGCTCATGTGAATAATGCCAGCCCTAATTACTTTACTGGATAGATGTGATCAAAGGTAAATTATGTGAAACTAATTTATAAACTTGGAAATACTATATACTTTTTATCTAATAAAACAAATCATTGTACTCTAAGTGCTAGACACTGTTTTAAGAACTTGACAAATATTAAGCTATTTAATCCCACAACAACCCTGTGAGGCAGGTACTATTATCCTCATTATAAAGATGATGGTGCTGAGGCACAGAGAGATTATTACCTCCCTGGCTATAGAATCTAGTCTCACTGCACCATGCTGCTTCTAAGAGCTAGTGCCGGTTTCCGTTGTTCCTGAGAACCATAACAAAACTGAATGGCTTTGCGTATAAAAAGAAACCAAAAAAATTCTGATGATCACATGGACCTTCAAACGTGCCTTTGCACAGCTTCTCACTGCTTTCACGTGCACCCTCACATGCACCCTGGGTCTGTCACTGTCAGGCACAATGATTTTTCAAAATTTTCTACAACTAGCATACATTATATAAAGTTATATTTTAACCACCTTGAAATGTATAAAAAAAAAATTGACAGAATTCTTAAAGAATAAATTGAAGGCCATAATAGTATTTTTTCTTTTTTTCTTTTTTTAATGCTTACAGCACCTGGCCTTCCTAGGTGGTCTCCCATCCAAGTACTAACCAGGCCTGCCGCTGCTTAGCTTGCGAGATCAGACGGGATCGGGCGTGTTCAGGGTGGCATGGCTGTAGACTGTAATGGTCATTTAAAAAGGTTAAAACTAAGATGTTAAAAGGAACACCATTAAAATGGCATTTTATTTTGTTTAAATCAGTTTATTTGTTCATGCTACAACTAGTAATGACCAGTTACATGCTGAGCATTGTGTCCAGTGAATATATCTTTTACGTGAATATTAAAGATCACCACCTTACTGACTATTCTCAAGGAATTCAGTCTGTTGGAAAAATCATAAACAAGGTGGTCGACATAAGAAAACATGGTAATCCCCATGCTGCTGGTGTGACATTTTGGGATTTCCCCCGCATCGCTAACTAGTAATGGAAGTAGATGCTTAAGATGGCTTCCTGGAGAAGGTGACATCCTGAGATGAGTTTGAATTTATTCCGCTCCTCTCACTGGAAAATACTGATAGCATTTTATCCTCTGCATTTTAGCTGCAGTGCAGCAGTGGAGATCAGAAGGTAGAGTAGCGGCATGGCTGCACATCCCCATCCTGCAAAGCCGATTCATTGCCCCGGCTGCTGCCCTGGGCTTCTGCTTTCACCACGCAGAATCGGACTCATCCACGCTGGCCTTGTGGCTGGGAGACGGGCCCAGCCGACTCCCAGGATACGCTACCCATCAAGTGGGAGTTGCAGGTCAGTTTCTAACTCATGATACTCAGAATTAACTTTTTAAAGAGGTTCACCCGATTTTTTGTTCTTACAGATGGGCAACAGTTTATTCTCATGGAATGAATAATCTGATGAACGATTATTCTCCTTGAGACTAGTGCTAGTGCTTTGAATAGACGAAGTTTGCCCTGTGCGTCAGCAGAGGGCAGCAGAGAGAACAAGCAAGTTCAGTGTTAAGTTTTTCCAAAGGATATGTTTGAACATGTTTTACACAGATATTTGACCTTCACTACTCAAATAGTAACACTGAATTGGGATCAGGGAATAAATTCATTATGATAAAGCATATTAGTACTAATTATGTGAATTAGCAGAATAAAATAACTTTTAGGTTGAATGTCAAGTAAAGCAAACCAAGTTTTCAATGATTCAAACATTACTTAAAGACATTCACATTAAGTTACTGTGCCAAACAGTTGTTTAAAATAGCATAATTTAAATGTAGAATTTAGAAGTCACTGATTAGCTTCAGAGACAATCTTGAGAGATGACTCACTTTAGGTTAAGACACGGGTTCTCAAATTGTAGCGTGCATCAAAATCACCTTAGAAGGCTTGTTAAAACGGACGCCGGGCCCCACCCGAGTTTCCGAGCGCCTGCTGGAACCCAGGCCCACTGGCCGCTAGTCTCCGCGCTGCGTGAACTCGGAATAGTAACTATTTGAGCCATCAGAATGATGCCACTCGCGGGATTATTGTGAGGAACACCTGGGGCAATGCACATAAGGAATTTAGCACAGTCCCGACTAATGATCATGATGTAATAGTAACCGCTTTTAATCCTGGAGCTCTTTAGATTGCACTTTTACCTTGTGACCAGCAGGGGTCGCTCACGCCGTGCTTTAGCGATGCTGGTTTCGTCGTTGGGATAGTTTGCTCAGGTTCATAGTGAATTCATTAGGGAAAAGTTCAATTTGAGTAATCACAAATTATTAAAAGAGCAGGTGTCTTTGGTATTTTTTTGTCATTCTATCCCTTGTAAAGTCCAATTAAATTATAGTTTACATTTTCTAACAGAAGCCAACATTAATGTTTATTTCACGTAGCGGTTTTCCTTCTTGCTTTAAAATACTAAAATGTGTTTTCATTTCAGAGAAAATTGCTCTTCCTTGCGTTACCCATACCACCGCCTTCAACATTTTCTCTCTACATAGCAGTTATCACCTTCTCGTGTTCTATAGAATTTATTTTTTCGTTTGTCACCTCCTCATACACACCACACTGTGAGCCCCGTGAAGCCTGGGAATTTGCTCACCCAGAAAAGTGCCTGACACATAACAGGAGCTCAAGCAATATACTGTATATTGTACCTATATCTATTATATATAGGAACTCAATTAATATTGAAAGCATGGACAAATAGGTGGAAAATATCTTTTTAATAATATCTTCCCATGTTATGTAAATACAAATATTTTTAAATTATAGCATCGAAGGAACCTAATACAAATCATTAAAGTATCATAAAAGATTCAAGATTGCCCAAAGAGAAATAGAAAATAAATTTTATTTTTGAGTCCGTAACCTCTAGCCAAATGCTTAGTGTGCTGGGCAATGGGTATGATGAATGAATAAAAGAAATGGAATAGGACTTGAAACATATGTAAAATAAAGAAGTACTCCAAAGTAATGTACTGGTATGTGATGGACATGTGTGCATAGGCGATAAACAAACTTAGGTGGCTTCAGGCGGGTCTTGATCCGAATATTGAGATGTTTTTTGATTTGGATCATCAAGGGGCACAAGTCATGTTCTATGCACAGTGACTCAAGGAATACAAACAGGAAGGGAAACATACTCATTTCTTCAATAAATATTTTTAAGCACTTAAAATTATCTGGACACTAAAGTAAATACTATAAAAGGATGAAAAGATTATTTAACTGTGTATCATCAGAAAGACAATTTAGAGAAATTTTGCAGATGGCAATCCAAGTCGGCATCCACTAGAACCATCATTGGTTAAGAGCACCTGGTACCTGAGCAACCAGTTCCTGGCTGGAGAGTTTACACTTTCGTGGATGAGGTGGTACAGAACCAGGCCTTTGGGATGGGTCCCAGGCCACAGGTCACAGTGTGGAAGGAGCCTAAGATGAATGAAATGGATGTTTCTCAAGTATCTTTTATTTTTTCCCCCAACAGGAGCTGTATTTGATGAAAATACTAGAAAAATATTGGTTGTACAAGATCGACATAAAGTAAGTCGCTTCTGCTTTATAAATTGTTCAGTTCTCTTTAGAGAAAAAAAAAGTGTAGAAATTTTGATATGCTCCAGGAATTACAGAAAGCTGTTTTAAAAGTCATTTCTAAGCAGTTATAGATGATATCGAAGTTCTTTTAATCCCCCAAAATGCTTATGCAGGCCTTGAAAATGCCAGGGTGACCTTGCTCTCGCTCGCCATCTATATCGCACGGCTACGGGAAAGTTATGGCTGGCTGTATTTAACTGGGGAGACAGCTGTTTCTAACAGACTGCAGGATTTTCTTTCACTCATCCAACGTTCATTAAGCACGAGCCAGTGCTGAGAAGACAGATAGTAACAGTGTCCGATGTTCCGCATCTCACTGTCTTCTTAGGAAAGCAGTCACAGCAGACGGTAACGATGTCCTTTGCCTTTAAAAAGCCTCTAAAGACTTCTCAGAAGAGGTGACAATTCACTTGAGTCTTGAAGAATGAGTATGAGCTTGCCAGGAAAAAAGCAGGGGAGAGGTAGAAAAAGACCGAGAACGTGAGAATTGCATACGCAAGGGCCCAGTGTTCAGAAAGGAACTGTTATGGTATCTTAGTCCATCCAAGTTGCTGTGTGGTTCAGACAACACACATTATTTCTCACAGGTATGGGTGTTGGGAGGCCAAGGTCAAGGCACCGGCAGAATCGATGTCTGGCGAGGTCCCACTTTCTGGTTCATAGACCTCTCCCTTCGTTTCCTCACGTGGCAGGAGGGACAAGGGCATCCTCTGCGATCTCTTTTGCAAGGGCACTACTCCGGTTCATGAGGGCTCCACTTAAGACACAGTCACATCTCGAAGGCCCCACCTCCCACCACGACGTCGGGGGTTAGGTTCAGCCTGTGGGCCGGGTGGGGGCGGGGGCGGACATAAACATTCAGCCGTCGCACAGCGCGATCATGGTAAGAAGTTCGTTGTGGCCGGGAGTGCAGGGAGCGGCACGCTGTTTGACCTGGGAGCTGGCCTGGGGACAGAACGTAGAGCCTTGTCCACCAAAGTAAGGAGCTTAGGCAACTGGAACCAAAGAAGGGGTCTAGGAAAAGCACCAAGATCTGACGTTTTCTGGCTCACTCAGGAGTCTTAGTAAGACTGACAGAGATTAATCATTTTGATACTTTCTGAGACTTCGATAAATGTTGGTGGACAGTCAAACACGTTTTCCCATTGTTTAAAAATTTTAAGTGACTATTTGTAATGATAGCTGAAAGCAGCATCACACGCTTCTCAGAAATGCTACCTAAGCGTTCTTCTAGTCATCTCATAAGCAACGTTCGAAGTGTTAGTTGAGGCAGGATCTCTGACTCGCCCCAAACTTTATCAGCAGAAGCTTAATCAGGCACCTGGAGTGGCACTGCGCTTGGCCCAGTGTCCCTCCTCCTTCCTCCTGCCTCACAGCCTGTTGCTGAGCCTAAAAGGGAGTCCCCTGGCAACGTGGAGATGAGGTGGCAGGGTCCCGGCCCCAGCCCCACCAGGCGGAGCACAGAGGGTGGGTTTGCAGCTGAGAGACAGTAGCATCAACTTATCAGAAATGCATAGGAGCCCCAGGCCGCACCCCAGACCTGCCGGGTCAGAACCTCCGAGATGCCACTCAGCAGCTTGTGCTCACGGGCCCTCTGGGCGATTCAGGTGCGTGGTCAAGTTTGCGAACCACCAGACGAGAACACTGGGCTCCAGATTCTTCATTCACTGATTTGCAAACCTGCCAGTGATCAGTTCTTTAAGACTGAAACAGTGCTGCCTCTCGGGGTCTGGCTGTGCCCCTCCTCGGCTGCTAGGCACTTGGGGGAGGCAGAGGCTAGACAGATTCATGTTATCTAAGACTTTGGTTTCTTCTTAGATTAAGTAGATATTCCTAATTAGGGTTTTGATTTTTTTTTTAAATTTCTGTAATTATTTTGGTATTAGTAGAATTTAAGCATAGACGATAGCTGTATTTGACCATAAACGACGATCGGCATTATTTCCAGACATCTGAGCCAGCTTTTCTCCTTAAGTGCCTCCCTGTCCCCAGGAACTCGTGTCAAGTGTTTCTTGCAGAGGGAACTTTAGCCCTCACCACAAGCATATGTGCACACTCGAACCCAAATCTAAAATGACACTTAAAACGTGTGCTTTCTCCTTTCCTACCGATCTGTTGCAATCCTTCGCCCCACCCCGATTTTGAGGAATAAAAGACCTACAGTGGCTCGATCTTGTAAATTGGGTTCTAAAGAGCGGAGTCATGGTAGGACCTGTTCGTTCATTCACTTGGCATTGCTGAGCTCCCATACGTGCCACGTTGTCGGCTCTGTTCTAAGCACTAAGCGAACATTAGCGAGCAAAGGAAAGCTTCTATGTCTGGAGCTTATATTAGGGAACACGCAAATAATCAGCAGATGAATAAATAACATGTAAGGTGGCAGTGTTATTAGAAAAATAACTGCTGTATCGTGCAATAATTTCTGTATGCCTTGGCCCTCACACTCAATACATTTTTGTTGAATGAACAAACTTATTACGAGATCTCTACGGCAGCTTCTCTCTCATGTAGCATCTAAACGCAGTGGCTCTGAATTCTAAAACTTGAGTGTGGCAGATTTAAAACGACAACGGTTAAAATAAAAATTACCAAATTTCTGTCATCTGACCGAGCTGGAATAAAGGAAGCCCGAGAAGGTCAAACACACGAGAACCGAAGGGAAGAGCCTGGCGGGTCAGCACCCTTGTTCTAGGTCTGGGGATGAGGCTGAAAGACACTGCTCGTCCTGTGGGGGTTCCGACTCCACGAGCTCCTGGTTGGGGTTTCTGCGGCCGTGCCCAGGAAGGGCCCGAGGCTGACCATAGGTGTAGGAACAGACGGTGTCTGTGGGGTTAGGGACATAATAAGGAAAAGCGACCAGAAAATAGACCACCCTTACATGCCCTTTCTAGAAATCCTAAAACAAACTCGAGGCATCTTCAGGATAAGCTTCGAAAGAAACAGTGCTATTAACTTGAAATCATTTTAACAGAGAAAATACCTTACATTCTTTATCTCTGAAAAGTGCATTAAAAATAATTCTTGCCCTTTGCTGATATTTCTTGGGCTAGCAATTCCTAACACCGAGGAAGGCGGGGTTCCAGAGTGATAGATGAGACCACCTTATGTCATCCAGTCTTCTACTTCGCATTCACCCCTGCACACACACAGACACACACACACACACACACACACACACACAGACACACACACACACACACACCCAGGAACATCAGATGTACTACTGGCAAATGTACAGGAAAAACTTGCCATCACATCCACATTCCGAAATATGACGGAACTACTCTATATGGTGTAAAATTACATTTCCATAAGCTAAAAGGATACTTTACCTTTCGTGGTGTGTAAGAATCAGACATACTTGAGGAACTAGATAGACGACGTAACTAATTCAAACAGGAGGGGTCACACATGTGAATGCTGAGTAGCACCCAACAGGTACGAGAACTTTGAGACGAGTATTTCTTTTAGAAGAGAGTGGAAAGTTATTTTTTTTAAGATTGGAGGGAAAAGGATCATGGAATTTTACACTTGAAGCACAGGGATGTTTTGTCTTCTTTGCTGGAAGGGGAACAAAGATGAAAACAGGTAACAGGCAGTATTGAAAAGCCTCCCTTAGCCCTTCCTCAGCAACCTTTCCCTCAGGAAACAATACGCTGGAAAGATAGAATAATAGTAAATCACTAGCGAAGTAATAAATCTCATGCCAATCAGAAGATTCTACATAGGGAACTCCGTAGGCAACAGGCAGACACAGAGACATTTGGTGCCAAACTAGACTTTAGTTCACATTCACAAGGCCCGGAGGAGTGGAAGTCTAGGATGGAGACTCCAGCAGGGTTTACACAGAATGTTCCAGTGAGGCCTGAAGAAAAGAGCAAAGGTACGTGAACAAGCAGGGAGCAGGGTACAGGGTCGGTGGGAGCAGATCGATGTCTAAAATCAAGAGAAACAGTGGATGGAATCGGACTGCCTGGATTTAACCCTGAGTTGACTACACACTAGCTGTGTCATCCCAGGCAAGTGATGAAATCCTTTTATGCCCTCAGTTTCTGCACTTATAAAATGGGAACAACAGTCTTTCATGGGTTACTGTAAAGTTTAAATGTGGTAATTCTTATTAAAAAAAAAATAAGCCATTTAGCAGCTTCTGGAACACGGTAGACATTCAATATATGTTACCTGGTATTTATTATTTATTATTAATGTATTGCTAAACCCAGGTAATGGGAGCATTCTTTAATATTTTAAAAAATGAGAAGACATACTCGTCTCTCCCTTGATCAGACCACGTAACCAGGTTTTCAGGCCACGTAACTTAGGCCGCTCCACCTGCCACTGAAAACTAACGGCGGACTCAAGCTTTTGGGGGGAGAGGAAGCAGTTTTTTCACCCATTTCCCATTTAGGCAAAAAAAAGTGCAGCTCGCTGCCAGCTTTAATTTTACATAAACATGCTCTGTGAGGCTGAAGCAAATCTGACTGGTTTTCAATGTGAAAATATAAAAACTGTCCTTGGAGCTATTTCTAAATAGAACTCGTCTCTAATCCTAATGTAACAGAAACGTGTACATAAATCCGATGAATCTTTGGTTTATAGCTGTTCGAGAATGATGTTAACATCACGTGTAGGAATACAACAGAAACGTGTACATAAATCCGATGAATCTTTGGCTTATAGCTGTTCGAAAATGATGTTATTAACATCACGTGTAGGAATATGTCATGTTCTAGGATTTGACATTTTCAGTGATTGAGAATTACTATATTTTGTAAATGGAAATACCACTACAGAATGCTATAAGTAGAATGATGTCATTTGTTTCCAAAGATTATAGATGTACTAGAGTGATATGAAAATAATAATAAAAGTGAGATATTTCGTGGCGGACTTTGGGGGTAAGGTTGGGGCTGTGACCCGTGAGTTACCTTGGGGTAGACACTGTAGCCACAAGTGCCACTGGCAAGTATTCTTGGGGCGAATGGGAAATGGGTTAAATGAAGCACTTTACAGCTAAGTGGTACCAGAAAATAGCGCAAACTGCTCACCAGCATAAAAACATACTTCATTCTTCCATAGCTAAGATTTATGAAATAATCCGAATCAAATTTTTGTGAGCTGTTTCAATCCTTAGGTCTAGCATGTTTCCCTTGTAATACGTTCAAATCTCCAAATTTAATCAACAATTCCTAAATTATTAGTCAAGTTTAGGTAAACATTTTGAAAGCTGACTTTCACTGTTTGGGGGAAACGTGTTTTGTTAGAAATAGAATCTATGGTGGTGAAGTCCAAAAACCTATCGGACAAAAGACGGCATAGTTTCTGTAGGAACATAGCCTCTGGAACCATTTCAAAGTGGAATCCCAAAGACAATGCATTAATGCAGAGATACACTTAGAGATCCATTCCTACGTTAATAAAACATCACATGCGTCACGACCTCGAGTCGGAGCCAGACACGGAAGGGTGGGAAGCCAGAGTTCTGTACCCACATCATCAGCAGTCGGTGGAAACTCTGGGAACCACGCCACCGTCCCCAGCCTAGCATAGCTGGGGGATGACACACTCTTTGAGAAGCACTCACTCGTCTAGGAAACGAGAGGGTCACAACGCACACCAGTAAAAGGTCCATAAACCTGTCTTGTGAATGAAGAGTATGAGGCGTCCTGGCTTCAAGCTGCAGCCTCTACGATACGGTGAGGGACAGACAGAACAGAACCCTAACAGGAAAATCAATCATGTCGGCCGTAAGAACATTGTCCCCTGCCATTTCATAATTATTTGTAATCAGCTTTCTATGTTTATCCCCATTCCATGATCAGATCATCGCACCTGCCCCCCACCCCCAAAAAAAGTATACAAAAGACCCAAGAACTTTAATCGATTTTATTCACACTGTCCATGGAGAAGCAATTACATCTTTACATAAAATCATTAACACACAGAACAAGAGAAACCTTAAGATTAATATAACTGATTAGACACAATACAGAATATGAATGTGAAATTAAAAATAGTATACTGTAGTGATCCAATTTATACTGTATTTTCTACTTATTTATAGCAGCATCTGTAAGATTCCTCTATTTGTTAATAGTTAACTAGCAGCAACATTTTTTAAATTACACAAATTCAGTAGATGTTTCCCTCCACTGTTTCATTCATATGGAATTTAACACAACCAACAAAACCACTTCTATGTCCCGGAGTAGATGGCGGGGAAAGACTTCATAAGTTACCAGTTTCCCCAAAAAAGAAAGAAGAGAGGAGGAAGGAAACTGAAAAAAAAAAATGCATGTGATTATGAAAAAACGAATTCTCAATAACCTTGACCAATTATGTGGATTGCCAGATATGGGTGCATAAAAGCTATGTTAACTTTATTTTCTTACTGCAGTTGAAGAATATGTGGAAGTTCCCAGGAGGCTTGTCGGAGCCTGGAGAAGATATCGGTGTGTATTGTACACATTTTTGATTGGCTTGAAAATGTGGAGGAAATTCATGTGTTTACTTTCCTACTCTATAGTTGAGAATAAGATTTTAAATTTCCTAATTGGTTCAAAGTCAGAAATTTTCAGGTTACTTCAGGGCTGATAGAAAATTAGCAGCAAAACTTGTAAAATTACAACCCATTCCATTAGGCTAAATAATCCCCTTAGGAGCCCACCACCTGTTCTTCGACTTAGGGCTGCTTCTGGAGTAATGTGCTTGAGAATGAGGAGGTTTGGATAGTCATCAGTTTAGCATTAAGGGTGACATTGGATGTGATTAAAATTGTTGGAATTAAACTCTGAGAAAACACAAATTCTTGGCCTTTTCATCACACAAGGATGAACTAACTTTTAAGTGAACTTTGAAACGTTTTATTGACAAAGTCAGTTTTAGAGCAGTGGTGATGTAATTCTTCTCCGTACGAGAATCTTATCTGCTGTTTATTTTGAATAGTCAGGAAGACAAAGCGTAGTGAAATGTCTCATCTGAGACGGTCTCACGTGAGAGCTAACTCCCCAAGAGAACTTACTGAGCTCCGTATCGAAGACGGAACATGACACAAGCTAAGAATGCTCACCATCACTGAGTTCACAGGAAGCAGATGGGAGGCTAGAAACCCAGTTTTCCCACCTGTTCCGTACACCACTGCATCCAACGCCGTCCCTGTCATCATAAAGGAGGAGGTGCCTCATTTGATGCCCTGCTGTTCACCCATGCCATTCCCCCCTCAGTATGCATACGTCCGTTTTCTTCAGCCCACGTGTATATGAAGGCAGTTTCCTAAATTATCTGTAAATATTTTATTTAAAAATATGATTTTTAAAAACGTTACACAGATTAAAATGCCCTGTATACAGCCCACTCCAAACAACCAATAAGTAAATTTACTACATTCAGATATATCCATAAGAAATTTTGGTTTTTAGGTATTGACCTTTTGCTTAGATTCTGCTAGGTCTTCTGTGAAATCAAAGAGGATTTGGGAGTGTCGTGAGTGCTGGAAGGAAAAGCCGTTGTTCTAGAACACCTAATTATCCTACAGTGTCCTGTGACGCAGGAGAGCATGTTGGTGAACGAGGAAGCTGACGTTCACGTCCTCACCCAAGCCGCCACTCACAGAGCAGTGTCCGGGAGGTCTGCGTAGCCTCCTCCTCTGACTCCTGCCTTCTCAATGAACTGACAACCTTCATTTGAGTTTTTAGGGGGCTTCTGAATTTCCGATATATTTAAACGCACTCGAAGAAACACATTTCAAAGCCAAATATGTATCATTTTAGGCGTAAGTGTACTAAGAACCCTTCAAGTCCAGGTAGTTGAGAATTCGCTACTTTTTAAAAGTATTTGTGGTTGTCACAACCACCCAGCGCTCCGGAGATCACACATGTGCCTCAACCACGTGGAATTAAGAAAGAGGAAGGAAACTGAGGAGGAGCACCCCCGGGAGGAGCACCCCCGGGAGTAGCGCCAGTGAGAGCTTCGCCTTAGGACGGCTAGAGGCGGTGGCGGCCGGGAGAGGCCTGTCAGCGACACGCACGGGGGCGGCCTTTACTTTCAACCTAATCCTATTATTAAATATTACAAAACAGAAATAACAAGTATAAACTCCATTTCATGACTGTCCTGTGACGTATTTAAACATCTCTCTCAATCAGCAAAAATAAAAACATAAGCCTCTTGGTTTTCCTATGTTCTTCAAAACAGCAAATGTTACTTCGGTTTAGCTTATAGCACATTAAAATAATACAGGTACAGCAGAGTAAGGCACTCTATCCGGATAAGAAATTTTAATTCATGGCGAACCCCCTGGGGAAGAGCTTCTCTCGCACCCTGGATGCAGAGCGCGCACTTGCCCGTTCAGTTTTCAGTCCTAGTCATTGAAAGGCTGACGCAGCTTAAACCGGACCAGCCACCCAGGCGGCGCTGGTTTGGGTTCGGCCGCCACGGTGGCTGCTGAGCTGGGCAGACGGCGGAATGGCACACAGCCCTGTGCTTCTGTGATGCAGAACAGGCTAGACTTGGGAACCAAATCCCTGCTCTTAGTGGAACCAAGAGCTAAATAGGCCCCACCACCGCCTGTTATCTTTCAGAGCATTTAAAGAAAAATAAACATTGAAACAATCATTATGTGAGATCAGCAAATGACGTGTAAAATTTAAGACTCTTGCCACAATCTTTAACAAATTGAATAACAAACACGTATGCCAGACTGAGAATTATGGAAGTCGGCATGTACTTAAAAACGGCAGACAAATGTCTGCGTTTCACACCTCCTCCCCAAACAGCTTAGGGGGAAAAAACGGAGCATACCCAGAGAATAGGAAAGGCAGTCTACGGCCGAGCCCACGGCAATGGGACGCTTTTCCTGACTTCCTCCTCCTTGCCCAGTCTTCACCAGTAAGACCACTGAGAAGGCAAAGGGAATTTACTGTTTGACAAACAAGTAAATGGAGGCACTAACGGGCATCTGAAGAAAAATCTATACAACTGTATAGCGTTTCCCAGCAAACTGGGGGAGGAAGGCAGCTGTTCTAAGGGCTCCTCATGGGCACTCTGGGTGACAATGACAGAGCATCGCGGAATTTAGAGTTCATCTGGATATTTAGAAAAAGCAGCCACCAAAAAATGTTAATGGCAATAAAACCCTGCCCTATGCATTGGCATATTACTGAAAAGTCAACCTTATAAAATGTGAAAACCCTTGCTGTATTATAAGATTCTGTGTATCACAAGTTTTTTGAAAAGCTCTGAAGGAGCGACTGCAGCGTTTGGGTGTTGGAGGAGTGAACCCCAGTTCTTGGGAATCTCAGCCGAAGGCGATGACCCACTTCCCCAGCGGGATTCCACCGAGACCACGGGTCGGAGCGAGGCCCGTGACGCATCTGCCGAGTGGTTTCAGAGGCCCCGCAGCCCCTCAGCCCACGTGGCCCGGGGGGTGGCATCTTTCAGGGTTCAGCACATCCTGCAGCTCCACACCTCAGAAGGAAGGATGGGTCGCTTTTCCCTGGTACTGACAGGTACAAGTTCAGGCTGTGTTGGTGGATAATCGGGAGCAGGATAATACGGGAGAAATATGTAAGAACATTAACTGCAGCTTTGCAACCTATGTTTTCACCTTTTGGGAAACTGAGCAGGAAGAGGTTAAAAATATGTGACTTTAAAAGCATACAAGTGGGGAAGTCCCCAAGCAGCAGCCAAAGAAACATTCCTATTTCAAAAGCTTCTTAGAGGGACAGCTGTAAGGAGATCCTTTGGTATAGCAGGATGTCCAGGAGGCAGAGAGTTTGCACTGAGCACTTCACTTTCTTAGGGTGAAGTTTTGCTGTTGAACCTTTAGGTGATGATACTTTAAATGAAATCCTTGATTAGATTTGCAAATCCGTGGCTTGATTTGCAGAGTGTTCTTTCCTTGACCTGTGTGTGGTCCTTGCACGTAGGAGACACGGCAGTCCGAGAAGTCTTTGAGGAGACCGGTGTAAGGACGGAATTCAGGTCCATCCTGAGCCTCCGGCAACAGCACGGCGTCCCCGGAGCTTTTGGGAAGTCGGACATGTACGTCATCTGCCGCCTGAAGCCACGTTCATTCAGCATCGACTTCTGCCAGCGTGAGTGCCTGCGGTGTGAGTGGCTGGACCTCACGGACCTGGCCAGCACCGAAAACGCCACCCCCGTCACCAGCAGAGTGGCTCAGCTGCTGCTCTACGGGTTCAGGGCAGGGTTTGACAAGATCGACCTGACCGCGGAGGAACTTCGGGCGGCTTACACAGGCAAGCTCTGCAAACTCTACCACAGGGAGCTGCCTGACAGTCACACACGATGACGGGGCGCGCTGAATTCCTCCTTACGTGTCTCGAAAGGTTTTAAGTAAGTTGTGCATGTAGAGTAATGTGTGACATGCCGTGAGAGAAGTGCACGTTTTGGGTTAACCAAATATCTGACTTGAATTTCCTAACGTCTGTGCGTGCCACGAAGAAAATGTGAAAGTGCGTATTTAAAAGCCTCTTTTCAAATGAAGCAAATGTATGAAAATCTTGTGGCTCTAACTTAGCTTCACTTGATTAAGGCAAGTGCTTTATAAAAGGCGGAAGTTATACATTTTCTAGGAATTTTTGTTTTTCTTTACTAAGGCAATGATTAAATATTTTACTATTAGATAAAAGGTTATCTGACCAGTTATCCAGAAAAGTTATCCTTTTTCTCTCATGAACAAATTTCTAAAATATTCCTCTTCTTTCACATGAAATGAGATCAGACGTTGCCATTAAGATCAGCTCTTAGCAGACATTGGAAGAAAAAGTATAGCTTTCTGCCCAGGGCCTGTTTTGGGTCCAAGTTTATACTGCCCAGTTCGTTTCAATGCCACGTACCAACTGGAGTATTTCCTTGACCGGTAAGTATTGTAGTTATTAGACTCCAGTCGTTCAAAAAAGAAACACTCGTCCGTAACACATTTCTGAAAAATAAAGGCAGAATCAGTAGTTGTTATGGCTGCTGTTTGTTATACTTTTCTCATTAGATGTCTATGACAGTCCACTGCCCATTCTGCCCAGCAGGACAGTCAACCCAGCAGGACAGTCAGGGCAACCGCCGACACACGCTATCTGCCAGGCGGCGGGGCAGCTTCCGCCCGAGGACTTTGCTCCAGCCCCGGTGAGGGACAGGCCAGATGCCAGGCAGTGCGGGCACAGGTGGTACAGGAACCACCTCGGACTTGAAACAGCTCGCGAACACAGCTTTCGGGGGTCCCCACGAAGAGGACACGCCCAGCACCGAGGCACTTGGGGAAACCCACGGCTGTGGCTCCCAGCCAGGTGTTCACGGCCACCCTGCTCCTCCCGGCCAACACGGGCCACCTGCCAGGCGGGGCAGGAGGGGCCACCCTCCCACGGGGGCGGAAAAGGGCTTCGTTCATTCTGCGCTCACAGAAACAGAGCTGACTTCTTAAATCATAGTCTTTCTAGTAGCTAATGTTGTTTCTAAGGCATAAAAGTTTATTGTACAGAAAACAGATAATGTATATAATGCCAAAAATCGTGCTGGAACGTTACATATGATTAGCATTCTCAAACGGGTGGATTCTAGCAGTTTCTCTCCTAGAGGAGGGAAACTACGCTGCCTTTTTATTTCAACCCAACTATTTATTGGCGGAGGGGGCGGGGGGGGGAGCGGAAAACCAGCTTTACAAATAGTTAGACCTGGACGTAACTATTCCACTCCATCAAGTCCAGCAAGGCTGCCACAGTGTCCCCCATCTGTGCAAAACCTGACTTCACAGGGCGGCTCTGCTGCTACTTAGAGCCTCCGGGGGGTTGGGGGGTCAACAAACGATTTATTCACTTTAGGGGAGGAAAGGAAAAATCATTTCTTACACTGCAATCACAGACAGACGATAGACAAAATAACAAGCTCACGTAGGAAGCCACCTGATTTTACACACCTCTCTCTCCACATGTAAGTGTAACATGTACACACAGACCTATGACCTAAAGCCATGGTTTTGTATTCATGAGTACACCAGACCTCACCTGGTGTCTACGCACTCAAATCTAGGAAACTCCAGAATTGGGAGAACCCACACTCAATAGACACATTGTTTCCCAGATTCTTTCGTTGCAAGAGAAACTAAACAATGGCACAAACGATCAGAAAAACATAAATCAATAAGCAAAACAGTGAGAAGAGCTGGCGTGATGAATAACGGAAAAGCAAAGGGAAGGGCTGAGCGAGGCCTGGAGCAGGCGCGCGTCTGGACCGCGGCAGCGGAGGTGAGAACCACGACGCGTCCCCCGGAGCAGCGCGGACGCCCAGCCCTCGCCTGCGGCCCACCCGCCT